CAGAAAAATGATGGTTTTTTTGGGGGGGGAGATTACTTTTTTTAAATAATACCATTAACAATTGATACTGAAGTTTCCTTAATATATTTAAAACCTAAAAAGGATCTCATTTCTTAGAGATTTGAAATGAGTGTGCCTGAAGTAAAAATGAAGAACAGAAAGTAAACTCCATGTGACATGGATCTGCACAGTTGCTATTTATCTAACGCTTCCCAGGGCTTCAAGAGTCGTCAACAGGATACCAATGAATAAGTAGAGATAGATTTTCTAGTTTCTTACCATCAGTAGTTTCTGTCCAGAATGTTTTTCATACATCTCTTCTACTCTTGATATGTTCAACACATGGATTGGAAGATTGGGAGAGGTGAATACTGTGAAGTATATTGACTTATTTGCCTGAAATTAGATGTCAAATATTACCACTCCATTCTAACAACTTGCATATTTTTATGATGCAGAGGATTTTTTTGTTAATACTTCATTTTCCTTTTGCAGTCCATATGTCCTTCTCTTGAGAATCTATGTTGGTAAAATGACAAAAACATGGCAGCCATCTTGGTGCAAATAACGATGGATGTTAATGAGAAACCTTTTGTGAAATGGCACCAACATGGACGTGATGACATACGTAACTTGCATTCAAAGAATTATTGATCTTACCTCAGTCAAAGTATCTTCTTCAGTTTCTTGGTGGAGCAACTTTCTGCTGATCTAAAATATTTTAATAGGTAGACAGGATGAATAAAAAAAGATGTCTAATAGTGTATAAACTAATGGCATGGTCAAAGGTAACTATACTTCTAGGGAAGCATAAGGTGGTGTAAAGGTGCACTCATTTTTTTAAATAATGCATAGGCCACAAAATCTGGGTGTTTGGCATGTGTGCACCAAAAATTACTGCAATACTTTTTGCTGCAGTTGTAACATTATTATAAGCTAAAGAATCAACTCTTTTTATATTTTATAATTATATAATTATATTGAGCCAGGGTAAACACTTTATAATGGGTGAGGGGAGCCCATGGCCATATATATGAAAATGGTTTCTAATTTTGGAATTTCTCAAGTTAATATGTATTCAATAAAAGTCAAGACACCTTCTGCAGTGCATTGGCCTTTGCACTTCATTGCATTGCCTAAATGTCAGTGTACTGAATTTTAGTAAATTTCAGTGACTTTTATTTTTTATTTTTTATTAACATGCCTATAGATTAGCAAACAAACATGACCTAAAAATTATTTTTTTAAGTTATTTTTAAAAATTCTTAAATTTTTTAAAAGTCTTCAATATAGAAATTAATGTATTTATCAACCACATCAATCACTGTAAAATACTAATGAAGACAAAAAAAAAACAACAATAAACAAGATTGGGCTTCATGTGATTGGGTTTTCTCTTATGAGTAAAGTGTGAGAAAAATACTTAAGTACCTCAACAAAATCCACTCTTGCCAGTCCTCCAATCAAAAATGCTTGGCCAGGCTTGAGAACGAAAGTCCTTGGAACAATCCAAAGATTTGAGCCTAATAGTTTTAACTCTTCCATACTCAGATAGTTTGTTATCTGAAGAATGAGACAATAAAAGTACAGTTCATTTGTTAGGTCTCTCCCTGGTTTTTCTCCCTTTGCAACATTAATACCTAGAACCTGGATATGAATGAAATCAAAAAAGCTATAAATGTGTGGATACAGTTGCTGGACCAACCAGAGCTGCAGAAATAGAATTTCTTTTTCTTTTTTGGAGTGGGTAATTTAGTTTTCTGAATATTGCTGCAATAACAATTTTCCTCAAACTATCATAAATTAGGACGAAAGCCAAAGTTTATTTTCTCCACCTATCATGGGATCCCTGTGGTTTACCTGATTTTCATTTATAATCCCTGGTGTATCATAGAGCCATGCTTGATGGTCCTTCTTGACCTTACTATTAATAACTTCTGGTTTGAATGCCTCAAGTGCACTATCAGTTGAATCTTGTGTTTGAACAGCTAACAAAGCCTTTGACCTTGAACTTGTTAACTTCTTGTAAGCTGTTTCTTGAACATTAATGATGTCAGGATCAACTTCATATTCATCACTATCATCAAACTCTGGATTTTCCTGTATTAACAAAATAATCTCAGCTTAGGTTTTTGTAGGTCGCTATAGATAACATTGCTACCGTCGTTATCACCTAAGCGTCAACACTCGACACTAAAACATGTTCTCATTGGTTGCCGAAACATTAGAAGTCAGTCAACTGGAACGCTGAGGAGGCTATACTGGTAATATGGTAATATGTGTACAAACCTTATTGGTCCCATCATTCAAGCGATGCTTCAGTTTAGTGAGCTTCCAATGACCAAAGCCAAACCTAAGTAAACTCAAAGTTGTCCCTGGCATTCGCGATACAGTAGACCTCTGCAGCATATTCCCTCCTTTCTTATGCACATTAGTCAGATCCAATAACATATTAAACAGACTTGTCTTTCCTGAATTATTTGAGCCCAGAAGATAGATATCCCCCTTGCCGTCCCAGTGTTTTAGAACTTTATTTATCAACTGAGGGATTCCAAACCCTGTTTTTGCACTAATAAGAGAAACACCTTTGATATTAGCATCTTGAAATCCATTTTCTTGGCATTCCCGTAAGACAGTTGTAGTAAGCTTTTCAAGCTGGGGTCTTGGTTTTCCATCTAAAGGTAGCATGTCTAGCTTGTTACCTACTATAATAATTCTTTTAGTTGGTCCTACAATGTCTAATAGCCCAGGTACCAAACTTCCAGGTAAATCAAGAATATCAACAACATATAAAATAAGAGCCTTACGGTGTGCAATGTGGCCAAGATAGTCTGTTATTTCTCCTGGAGATACAACAGTGGGAGAACCCTTATTGTAGTTTTGAATATTAAAACATCGTTCACATATGACAGGCTTCACAACGTCCATCTCTTTCTCTTCCTTGTTTAGAGCTGGATTTTTAGAAGCAATGATGTATCCTGGATTTTTAGCGTCGTTGCTTTGAAATACAGCACCACAACCTGTACACTTTGGTGGAAGATGATCAAAAATCTCTGGGTAAACTTGACTGATTCCAAGACCTAACTCTCCACTTGAAATGACTGGGTCTGTCTCACTTTTTTTATCCAGGCTGTTATCAAGTAATCTATCTTGACCTTCTGATATACTGATATTGGATATTTGAGGCTCAATTACTGTGTTTCCCTTGTCTTGACAGAAGAAAAAACTAGTCGTGTTGAACAGTCTATACTCTTGTCTTGTCGTTACAAGTGCATTTCTTCCACCCCACGTGCGAACGATTCGACCTACCAGTCGCACACCAACACGAGCAGACAGCATCATCATCATATAAGGACCTTTGATAGCCGAAATATTTTAATACTAAGGCTTGAAATTACTATGGATAAGTCTTACGTTTTTATCCGTTTTATCGTCTTTGAAGCACTCATTGTCCACCATGACACCTAGTAATGGTAGTTGCCGCTGATTCGGTGACCCGCACTTAGAAACCACGTGACTTATGTATATCCATCCAAGGGCGCCAGTACAGACACTCGATTGGGTTTTAAATATGTGTGATTGTTTCAGTTATTCGTAGATTTCTACTAGTAATTGAATTKATATATGTTTGTTTCTAAATGGATACTAAATAAAATACCAGGTCCACCAAAAATTGAATTCTAATATTTGCTATTGCAAAATTCTCACGGTGTGGGAAGTGGGAGCATGCTTAATTTTTATACATAAGAGCGACATTACATACCATAGGGGAATTATATATAAAAACAAAGGCGCGCGTGACAAAAAAAGTTGTAGTGCATTTTTTATTGATTTACGTTGTGCAACGAGACCGTCGTCACATTTTAAAGATGTTTTTATCGTTCAATTTTATTATAAAATGTTTAAATAAGAAGCTACTTATTACTTTCGTATTACGGTCATTAGAGTGTACGCACTAAAACCGTGAACATTAAATAGTACTAATTAGTACTATTTCATACAGAATCCTTTGTTTTCTATTGTTTAATTATCACTATTTAGTGCCAAAAATTAGTATTTGTTTCACGGATTTAGTTTGAGCACTCTATCAGGCGCATTGTTCAGGAGCGCAAGTGAGACACGTGCGAGAGTATTGTTTTTAAATTGTCCAAATGTGGCTGCATTGTTTTCGCATTAATTTGTATATGCTCGTTTTATTCTTTGAAAAATCTTTTTTTTTTTCACGATACACCATCCAAAATTGTGATCTTCTCATATATTGTTTATGAGGTACCAACTATTTTATTCGGTCACGCATACATCAATTGGGTTGGAAAAACGAGTTTAGTAAGCTGTCTAATAATCTTGATTAAATAATAATGACTTGCATCGCTTTGCTTGTAGTTTTTCACATTATGTCATCAGAAAACTAAAATCTAAACTATTCATCACACAAAACCGTTCGTTGAATATTTCKTTTATATCATTAAGAAAAGTCTTCACGAAATATTTTGTGTATCTCCGATGCTTAGTTTTTCAATCGTGAGTCAATGTTTGTCACGCAAAAGTGCGTCACGCATTTTTCAAAGCAGGAATTGATTCGATTCACAATATTGAACATGATTTTGATCCTTGGTGATTTGGCCGGATTTTTTTCGTACCTCAAAGGTATACCAAAATGGGGTTTCACGCTAAATAATGAGCACAATCGATCGTCGCAATTGATTGGTATCGAAAGCTTCTTACAACGTCAAGCTTACATTGTTTTCATTTCATGTCATTCGAATGCAAGACCTTTTATTTGGTAATCATTTTCAATATAAGGTCCAGAACATTTTACAATGACATTGAAATCGATCTATGTGGAGAATGGGGCTTTAGCTTGTTTTTATCCTCCTGAAGTGCTTTTTGCCATGAATCATTACGAATCTTCAAAAGCGAATTAAGATCATAACAAGTAAAACTCGGCTACCAAACTTGTTTTTTCCTACTACTTGTATTTCCGGTTATAACCGGTTTTATCTAACGGCCTAGACCAGCAGCAATCGTCCATATATCTGTATATTTTCCTTTTCAATTTTTAGTTTGTTTGGTTCTTTGTTATTTTGTTGAGTTAAATAAATTGATTGTTTKAGTAAGAATAAGTTGAAGAGTTTACGAAGACGACTTGATTGTAATTTTCCTTTGGAGATTTTTTATGCTCCTGAAGAGTTCTTTTGGCCATAAAAATCATTTACGAATGCATAACTAGTAAAACTCGGCTATCTTGTTTATGCCTACAAGTTATTTCCGGTTATTACAGACCGGTTTCAGAAAGTCTTTATAGCAAAGAAAACTATCTAGTCAGGCAGACCAGGAATCGCCAACGAGGAAGACAAAGCTAGTAGGGAAAAAAGGTAAGCTGACCAAAAAATTACATGTATATATTTTACTGTTTCCCCATTTTTGAGATATATTTAAAATATAAGCTTATGTCTGATAAACTCGTAATATATTTACAGTAATTTCTTAGGTGATTGAGATTTCCGAAATAGCAAAGCAAAAGAAGATATTCAAAAATCGAGTAGAAATTATGTGATTTCCATACGCCGCGGGCTTCATAAACTCAGTCGATCTCAGTGATTTCCATAGCTTTGTTGTGTCCTATAGCTCCAGTTGTGTTTTATCAGAGAACAGAACATAGCTAAACCTAATCTTTTTACTTCATATAATAGATTTTCACGAGCGAAAGAGCGTAAAATTTTGATATTTTATCTTTATTTTTTTTAAGAAGAAAGCGCGTCTGTCGTCAATCGCGCGCAAAGAAATTTGATCGATGCGAGTTTTAGTTAGTGACATTAACATAGGAAGGGAATTTGCTCATTTTCTCCCGACTGTCGTAATATACAGAGCTCTACAAATCTCTACAGAGCTTCAAGTAATCTTTCAAATTTAAATGAATTTAGTTTCTGGGTGAAGGAGCAGTTACAGTATTTGTAATGATACTGCAAAAAGTAAAGATTTTGCAAATAAACCAAAAAGAAAAGGAAACACGCAAACTCGGAAAAAACAGTTAAAAGACTTCATTATTATAACTTGACTTTGACTATTTCTATGAAGAAAATAAGGACCATATTATGATTTGCAGGGGGGTCCCCTAGGGGGCCAAATTAGTGATTTTGACTACTTCTCATTCATGAAATTTGGGCGATTTTTAAAAATTCGTAAATCCATAACAAATCATCACAACACTAAATCCTTCCATATTGTAGTAGATATATATCTCATGCAAACATGAGTAGCCTTAAAGTTAAATATGAACTTATTTATATCTAGATATTTCAATTTTACCGACCATCGATAATCGACTTTGGCCAGTTGGCTAAAATATGGCTCAGGAAAAAAAATCAAAACTCAAAAGTTAGAATTCGTAGGACTATAATATTTGAGTACTGCAGAGATAAAAGGTAGTTCTTACAGAAATTAAAATAATATTTTGCGGCCAGCAGGTTTTGAGAAGYGAACAGGTCGACAAACTTTCAGTATTTTTGAGATTTAATGTATTACGTCAAAAAGGTGCAAATAGTATAAATGTATATAAATTCACTGTTTAAACTGATATAATATATTTTAAAAACATATTTTAACCTCACAAATTGTAAAAAATGGTTTTAGAAAACAGTATTGGAATCGAAATACTGATTCACGCCACAACATGCCTTTATACTGTAAGGTACTGAAATGCTGTATACTGTTATAAAAAAAACAACGATAAGTTCACTCGAAATAGATAACTGAAAATTATTTGAACGATGCACAAACATCAATCGATGAACAAATCACAAGATTATTTGTTCATATTTTGCCTACAACCAAAAAGAAATCCAAATAATCTAGATACAACATGCATTCGAAAACGGGTCATCATCTGCAGCTCGATACAACTGTCATGTTGTATCGCGAAATCTTAAAAATTCTATCGCGACAAAATAAGGTTTTGGTGGACGTCAATCAAAGTGTTTCCATAACATTTCCGGAAAACATAAAGCTTTCGAGGGCACGTGCCCATAAAATGTTGYGAAAACGCCTAGGCCCTAGGCAGTTAACGGTCACGTGTACTAGTGAGCAAAATCTTTTTTTTCCCCTTTAATTGGTGATTCTTTTTAGCTACTTGTAAAGAACTGAATGAAACGATGTGTAACCAGTGTGTCACGAAATGCAGTTTTATTACGATCTCTCGAAACAGGTTGTAGAAATTTTGTTTGCTCTCCAGTATATTTCATCAAATCTTGATATATAAGAACATTGCAAGCCCTTGATATGACGTAAGAATACTAGCTGTCCTCGCTATGAAAGAGTTAGCATGTTTTTTACCTTTTTTTTTTTTTTTTTTTTTCTAGAACGGCTATCCCCAGTCAGGAGGTACTTAGTTTTGTGTTTATTGTCAACAGATTTGCCCTAGTCCCCAGCATCAGGCAAGAAAGAAGTGTGATCAACCGTCCATCCAATCACGATGACGACAAATACACAACAACCAGCTAAACCCTCTAAACTTATCAAGCCCAATTCTTTTGAGCCGAACAACCATTGGGTAAATAAAGGATATGAGAAACCGATAGACCCAGTTGCCAAGTGCTTTTTGAAACTTGACAAGCCTTCTATTGTGAGACGTTATTGCATGCTAAATCCTATGGTTAGTAAAGAAGAGTTGGAAACTTCATTGGCATACCAACCAAAGTATTTCGTGTGGGCCGGGGCAGATCTGATGAAGGTCGCAACAAAAGATGGACAGAAGAAAATGGTGCTCATTGAAAATAATTCTTGTCCATCCGGTCAGAAATACATGCCTCTTGTGGATGAAGAACAAAAATATGGAGGCTACCGTACCTTCTTGGAGCGTACTTTCAAGAGAGCTTTGAATAGCACAAAGGTAATTCAAGGGGAACTGGCTGTTCTTTACGACAAGAACCCCATAGAAGCATCTGGTTATGCTCATGCCATGGCTGATTTATTCAATGAAGAGGTCCATTATGTATCTGCATACGTTGACGAGAAAAGCCCAGGTTTTGAATTCCGTGATGGCGTCTTGCATGTTTTTGGAGAGGATCAAACGTGGCATCCCATCCGAGCGGCCTTCCGTTACGTCACTCAACGCCCATGGAATCGTCTTCCGATCTCACCAAAGACTGTGATTGTGAATCCCTCCATTGTGTGTTTAGCTGGTGGAAGGAACAAGCTACTTGCGTCCAAGGCCTATAGCAGTTTCAACAAAGAGCTGATGGATACTGGATTAGCTATAAACACCCCACTTACCATATGTGACGTACAGAGGCGTGACATCCCGAATTGGGTGGCAAAATTTGGTGGCCAGGCTGTAATCAAGGTCCCTTATAGCAACGCAGGTCAGGGAGTCTATATCATTAAGAATGAGGAACAACTACAAGACTTTCTTAATAACAACCATCCATATGAACTGTATATTGTCCAGGAACTAATTGGTATAAGAGAGGAAGGTCACGAAGGTGTCCAACGGTATACCCACATAGGGACCTTGCCCTCAGAAAAGGGATGTGTCTACGTATCTGATGTTCGTATGATGGTTAGTTCCAGCCCTACAGGTCTCAGGCCCGTTGGAATGTACTCAAGAAGAGCAGGTCGACCTATCGTAGATGGATTCGGTGAAGTAAGTGACCACGCTGAGGCCTTCATGACCAATCTCTCTTTCAAGAATCCAGACGGAACGTGGAATTCAGACGTCGACAGGATGATTCGACATGATTGTCATAATTTCCTCCAGCTTGGCTTGGGATTGGATGACCTGATCGAGGCATATGTGCAGACAGTGTTATCAACAATTGCTATTGACAAGATGGCACAAGCTTTGTGCGACGAAAATGGTCAGTTCAGTAAAGAAGTCTTTCAGAGTCTGAATAATGATTCCCTTTTGCTTTCTGAAATTATGAATTCATAAAAGCAGTGACGAGAGGAAACTATAAAGATGAGATAACATTAAAGAAAGCAAAGCCTTTACTTCTGAAAAAGGACAAAAACACTTATTGATTGTTGCATAAGAACAATTCAAGTTCTGCTATAATTTATTAAGACTACATAAGTAAGTTTAATCTATTTACCTGTGACCTTTAAGGAAATTTATGTCTACTTTGTATGTAATCGAGTATTGTTATCATACTTAAAAATCAACCACACCCTAAATCCATTGTTTGATGTAGGTTCTTAAATTCGGTGGAAAACCCAGATTCTTAAAGCCGGCAGCGGAATGATATCAACAGGGGAGAGCGGGGCTGAATTATAAACCCAGGATAGGTTTTTAATTACTTTTCCTTATACTTGCCCGAGAGAACGCAAGGTATGAAAACAATACAATTTTTATTTCTATCGGAACAATAGAGTGCAAACGCGGATATATTGTACTCTATTTCCAAAAGAACAAAGCAACAGTAATCTATCTCTCTGAATTCATTATAATTTAGTATTTCGTGTTTTGCATCGAAACAATGGAATTTAGGGCTTAGTTGATATTTTAAGCCAGTTCAAAAGCACGGGCTCGGTTTTGCATTAGAATTCAAGACCTCGGGCCTGCGGCCCTCTGTCTTGAATTCTAATGCAAAACCTCATCCTAGCGTTTGAACCTTTATATATTGGTAGTTAATAAGTTTAGTTCATTGTCTTTCTAACACATGTTAGGCCTAGGGCTAACGTCGAACTTTCCATGCACCGAACTCATTAAAAACAATGGATATCAGGTGATAATGAGGCGGCATTCTTTGACGTAATTAAGTTCGGTGCATGGAAAGTTCGACGTTTGCCCTAGGCCTTATTTAGCCTTTCTAAAGTGCACTGCATGCGCAATACCAAATCGACCCAGTTTTTGTTTCAATCACGGTATGACTAATACAATGCCCATGCATATCAAGTTGTGTAATGGTGACCGGCATACATCGTACACTACACACGTTCGTTGAGAAAAAGAATGAACGATTCAAAGAATCGGCAAGTTTCAAGGGCGGATCCAGGGGGAGGATCGGGGGGGTCGCGACCCCCCTGTCATTCCTGAGGTCAAATGGGATTCCTGTGGTAAAAATGCGACTGGGATTCCTTTGCCCACAAAATTTACCCCTGAGACCCCCCCTTCAAAAAACCCTGGATCCGCCGTTGAGTTCCCATAAAAAAATCGTAAGTTAAGATAGTTCATACCATGTAAAAAAAACTTATGAAAGTATTTTTTTCAAATTCGGTGAAACGTAAAAGAAATACTTGTGAAAGACCATTTGCAAACACCTTGAAGTGTTTTTCAATCTTTATTCACTAATACTTTTTTTTACCTCACCGTTTGTCATCTGCCGTTTATTATTGACTTAATAAGACTTCATTTAAAGATAAAAATTTAAATCGACTAACTAGCCTCACAAACGAAGCGAGGATAAAGAAAATTATGGACAAGAGTCTCGCTGCTGGAGAACCTGAATAATTATCGATGACTACTTCATAAAAAGCTCGTATTTGTAACAAAACCTGTAACATGTGACATAAGTAAACTCAAAGTCTATTGTTTTTATTTGCTTTTTGCTCACTTTTAGATGTTGTCTGTCAGATTCTAAAAAGTTTCCTTGCAATCACTTCAATGACCATTAGCTCCAGGGGAGTAGATGGGGGTCAAAGTCAAAAATCCGCCATTTAGTTTGAGCACCCAAAACGAAAAAAACGGCATCACGTTGTTTTACGTTTTATTCTTACAAAAATAAAAATTTTAAATTACTGCATGAATTCTAAAAAGCCGCCATTTTGTTGCCACGTAAAAAGGGGCCCTGGCCCTCGGCCCACCAAAACTAAGTAAATTTAAATCGTGAGTTTCAGTTGTTGGATATGAAAAGGGCATTGATACACCGAATCAAAATATGGCGACCAATTTGAATGACTATTGTTCTGCACTAACTAGCGACTAACTAGCCTCTCATATATCGCTTGAACACTAGGTTAGACGGTGCAGAGCAATTCTTTCTTAACGTTGGAGGAAAACAAACGTTAAAACTGAATAAATCCAAAATCTAAGTACACAGAGAGAAAGAGGTACTACTGTTCAAAGTTAAACTAAGATTGCTTTACTTTATTTCACATTTTGACGATTTTATTGAATATTTTAAGTATCGCCATACAAACCTAGCTTGGGCTACCTGTGCTATCACTTGCTTCAAATTAACAATTATAATCGGCGCCGAAGGACAGCTTAGAACCCAGTTTGTCCATTCCAGGCGTGAGAACGGCTGCTTGGTTGAAGCAATAAGCCTGAAGCGAGATGACGTTTTACCCCCGACTCTATACCATAATAGTTTTTAAAATTCTTTCATATTAAAATTTTTGATTCCTTAGAGAATACAGGAACAATAGTCATAATTAAACAACAAAAGCAATGTGAAAAGGATTATGGTCTAGAGACGGGGTTAAAACGTCATCTCCCTTCAGGCTTATTGTTTATCTTTTATGATCTTGGTGAACACATATTTTATTTGTTTTGATATTTATGGGGAAATCACTGACACGATATTTTATAGTAATCACAGTAATTTTAAAGTAATGTAACCTAATTATAACTAGAACTGGACGCTAGCTTGCTTGAGCTGGTCGCTAACTAGAGTGCTAGTGGTCCCAAGGAGAGTTTTTGCTGTATTCCCCAAGGTAAAAAAACCCACCCATTCCGATCATATAGAGAGATGCATTATGCTGAACCTCTATTTTAAGAGGGCCGAAAAATAGGCTTGTTTGCTATAACCATAAAAACGGCCGACGGACGAACGATTTTTTGTTCAACCTCAGAATATAGCCCACTTCCTAGACATGCTCCGCTTGTCGAGGATAATGTGAAGTAATCATAAAACACGTTTTCCTATCAAAAGACGAAGTCACGCACAAAGGACTCAATGCAACGCTTTTTGTACAATCCTCACTGATTTGTGACTTGCAGGAGAAAAGAATTGATTTAATTTAGCACGTATAGCCTCGTAATGAAACCGGCTTTGTACATGACAAGCGAAGCATATCTCGGAAGTGGGCTATTTCTAACATGCAAAATTCTACTCCGGTATCCTGTGTTTCATAACTAGGTTCCATTCTCTCTCACATTGATGATGACATACTGGTGTAGCTGGTGGCAACATAGAAAGAGCTCAAGACATGAACTACAGGTCACCAACCACGTGAATAATTCAAATACACGAGGATAATGTGAAAGAATCATAAAATATGTTTTCCTAACAATAAACGAAGCCATAAGAATTGAAAAATTACGATCCAGATATCTATATTTTTATTAAACTTCTTGACGTAACTTCTTAAAAGCGGTTTATTGACTGGTAGCTGTTTCTAAGAGCTGGAGATTTGAAGCTATATATCATGGGTGGTATTTAAAGAAAAGACGTCGGGCTTTTCCTCTTTTGGTAAGTAGCCATAGGTAACTCTCACTGATTGCATATTGAAGTAAAGAAAGACTACAAGAATCTCTCTTCTCGTGAAAAACTCTTCGCATAATATAGCAAAGTGCTTTTCTTTTGCATTTGTCGAGCCAAGGTGCAAGGTGTTAAAAATCGAATCGATTCTTTGACACGAAATAGCAGAACGAATATATATTCGAATTCATAACTATTTGAATTCCCCTTCGAAGCAAGCTTAGCTTTAATTGTGAAGGATTTGCTATAAAGGATATGTTTTGCTGATTTCAATTAATTTAATTTAATTTAATTTAATTATCCCATCATTTTTGTGGCCTTTACTGACCAATTAGCCGTTTTCTCTTTCCGCTTAGACCAAGCTAACGTTCATTCAAAAATAACTAGATCAACAAACTGAAATAACAAAAAATGCATCTATTATTACTTTACGTAAACTATCTTACAGAATACTCTATTCCCCACAGACACATAAGAAAGATTATTTGGTTTCCACGAGGCGAGGTCTAGGTTGGCCAAGATGGCTGCCATAGTAACGGATACTATTAACTTTGAGCAAGAAGGTGACATAAGCAGAAAAACAAAGGTAAACTTATCTTCTCATGTGCAACCGTTAAACAAAGAAACCATTCTCTAGGGAATGAAACGGGGTCTGAAAAGGGTTGAAACATTACGCCGAAGCCGAAATAGTTTGCAATGTCAGCGCGAGAAAAAATTGCAAAAGAATAAACGACTGCTCGGCACGTACGCTTTATCATAACAAGCTTCGTTTCGCTATCTTTCCAGCTGACCAACATGACTTCATTATTTTTCAAAACTGCTGTATTGTCGTTCCTGGTATTCACAACGTATCTTCTGTTTCGTATCGAACGAGAGCAAACTGCATTGAACGTCAAACGAGGCATGGCGTTGATAAAACACAGACACGGTCACGGACCACCACAGATGCTGCACGATTCGCTTTATGACATTGATGACGACGATGATGATGCCGATGAAAAAGGTACTATCGTTGTTGTCAACGTTCCTTATTTGTAGTTTTGGATATTTTCGTGTTTAGCTGGCCATCTTAGGCTAAAACATTTATTTTTTTTAGTGTGTATTGTCTCATTTATATGTTTGTGACAGTGATATATCATCAGTGTCAGTGTTGGTGATGGTTGTGATGGCAGAGATCGCAATAAATTTAAATTACTCATGTTTTTGTAACAGAAACTGCCTTTAGACTTGGTTTCAATGCTATGGAATACTTGGTCTTGTGGCTATTAGCCATGGCACAGCTCGATTCGATTAGTGACCATTTTTGAACGCCCTCTTCGAAGAAAAATGGCACACTGACTCTACGACAGTTTCTGTGAAGAGGCATGCCTTGGTTTAAGGCTTGTTTTTAAATCAAAAATACACATTGAAAAAAGCCGCGAATTTTGAAGCGTGCCGCGTATGACGCCACTTTCTTTCAATCACTTTAAATTGCCAGGAATGCAATCTCTTAATGGCGGACTCAAAGGGCCAAACTTTACCGGCTAAATACAACATCTTCCCCGTCTCGTATCGAAAAAGAATTTGGACAGTAAACTATATTACATGTCTAGTTTTATTTGGTGCAATTCCCAGGGATGATGTCATTTTTGTAAGACTACAATTTAAATTTACCTTCAATTGATTTACAGATGCTGCTATTTTTGATGTTTTGCCTCATCGTACATCTTGGAGTGAATGGAGCCGATGGAGCCGATGTAGCAGCCGGAAGTACTGTGGAGAAGGAAACCAGTATCGTAAACGTACATGCATCTTGGAAGATAGCAAGGGATTTTGTACTGGAGTATCTATGGAGTCACGTGATTGCCCAGATACCTCTTGTGTCCGAGATAACCGTGAGTATCGACTGATGAGATTCTCTTCGAATGCTGAGGAATGAAAAGGAGAAAAATTGTTTCATCAAAATTTCAGATGGCATGTGCTTTAATATACACTAAGGAGTACTAGCAAAACACCGACAGTCGTATTAGATATCACCTCAACACCCATATCTCCGCGCGCCCATTTAAATGATTTCCACTACTTTTTTTGACCTAGGCTAACAATACTCATTGAATCGCTATAAACAGAATGATAAGTTATATTAAATTATCATTAGCTTACAGTAGGTAGGTAGGTAGGTAGGTAGGTAGGTA